AAAGAAATGGGGGGAGGGGGAGGGCAAACATACATCAAAGCAAAAGAAAAAGCAAAGATATGAGTACAGGAAAAAAAGCAATCATAAGAACAAATACACAAAACAATAAATATACATATTATTATCCCACAATTTGCAAATCACTTCCTAACTATCGAAATCCCTAATATAGCAGTCTCATAAGATTGGACGGAGTTTCTAGGACATGTGTGACTCTCATACTTGAGATGTTGATACTACAGACGGCAATCCTTCAGTCGAGGAACTAAACAATGAGACATAAACAAAGTAAGAAGACAAACACACACACACACACACACACACACACACACACACACACACATACACACACACAATAATATTTGAAAAAAGAAAACTAAACAGAAAAACAAACAATGCTATAAGAACAAAGAAAACTATGCAAAAATACAAATAATGTGAGAAAAACAAACACTACTAATAGGTAAAGGAGACAAATCTCATTTGAAATCGACGAAAAGCAAACAGAAACACAAGTATGAGAGAAAAACAAACATTGATATATGAAGACGTAAACCACTGATATGGGAACAAGGAAAAGTAAATAAACTGCCAAGGAAAAGGATAAAAACGACACAGATAAAACTAACGTTTGTCTCCCCATTTACACAGCGCTACACACTAGCTCACTTCTGATTAGTCAACCTTATGCCATGCGCCCTTGCCACAAGGTTTCGAGGGTTTTCCGCAATGCCGTTGATATTGCGTGTTGTATATTTCAGCACGACAGCGCTTTTAACACTCCAAAAACATGAACAAACCTGGTCCAACACACAAACCCCCTAGAGAGAACTTCAAGCTATGTCATAGGCATTCTCTTTTTCGGAAGAAAAACGTAAATGCAAGACAAACCAGAAAGCAAACAGCAGAGCGGTACACCCGTAACACCATGGACAGTAGACCAGCCCAACAAAGTTGTCAATGAAACGTGACGTACTTTCTCTGGGGAGACTATCGTAAAACTAACCCAAACACTAATATTGTAATCGTGTTATAAATAGGAATAACGACAAGGTATGACCAAGTGAAAGAATTGGGGAAGTCCCTAGTGTGAGAATCATGCATCATGAGAAAATGGCTCATTGACAGAACTGGGAAAGTCCCTAATAGCATGGGTTTCACTGGGAGATGGTGAAAGGAGAGTTAAGCAAGTCACTTGCGAATGCGAGATCTGGGGGATTGAGGATGAGGTGGCATTCTGTGACTGGATCCTAGATTGAAAGAAAGGGAAACTGAATCCAGAGTGAGACATATAAACTTAGATCTGGATGAGAATCGAGTGAACGTTAGTCCTGAAAGACAAGAAGTGAAGCTGTGTTGATTTACTGTTTAGGAGAGCAGTTGTGTTAAACGGCCTGTTGGTTATGCTTGTCGTGTATATGCCAGTGTTCATCGTCCGAAGCGTGGCTGGAAACTTAGAGCGTGAGCAAGACGAGACTGCCCGAATAAAGTAAGGGATTAGTTCTACTGTTGATTCTTGTCGCTTGTGTTTTATTAATAATAAACCCGTGAATTTCTGTCAACTTTCGTCGACTGTCATCTAGAGACGTGTGACTGTTGGAGAGAAGAGAAGTTTTGCTGGAATGAACTGTGACATGACATCTATGCAACAGCGCTAGTGTTGAATCTGCACGTGGGGGAAACTAAGTGTGGAGGAGACACACTGCTACTATGAGGAAATTTTAAATAAAAAAATAAAAAAATAAACTGATCTGAAAACAAGGAAAAATAAACAGAATGAACAATGGTATGCAAACAGTAAAGAACTTTTTTCCACGTAAAAGACTCTTTTTCACACCTATTGGGCATATAGGGTTAGACCTACATATTTTATTGACCAATCGGAACACTGTGAGTGATGTGGACAACATAACGCCGGCCGTTTTCACATCTCACGACTTTAACTGGTACTTGTTTGAAACTGGGTTGACCAGAAAGCCAAGGTCCTTTATGAACAAAATAAAACCCAGTCAAATTTCTTCAGGGTCTGAACCTAGGACTGTTTGACCGGCAGGTGTGCATCTAGCCTCTACACCACGGCGGCTACCAAACAATGATATAAAAACAAAGATAAAAACAGTGTTAAAAAAGGGAGAGAATTCAGGAAGAAAAGCAAAACAGAAGTATTAGAACAATGACAATCCTCATCATCCATTTCTGTTTTTGCTGGTAAACGACAAGGGGAGAAACAGTTTGCGATTCATTATGGGTAGCACTGGCTATTATCCTTCAGTGTCTATCTATCTTTAAGGTCTTTAATGTCATAAGTCCATGCCCTCCTAGGTCGACCTCTTGTTTTTATTTTGGATCTCTTCATGCTTAGTGCCTGGGTTGGTAGCTGATCTAGCAGCAGTCTTACAAGATGACCAAACCATTTGATCTTCTGTTTCTCAATGAATCTGTCATAAGTCCATGCCCTCCTAGGTCGACCTCTTGTTTTTATTTTGGATCTCTTCATGCTTAGTGCCTGGGTTGGTAGCTGATCTAGCAGCAGTCTTACGAGATGACCAAACGATTTGATCTTCTGTTTCTCAATGAATCTGTTATATGGTGTTGTTCTCACAGTCGACCTGAGAGTATCACTTCTTTCTTTGTCTTGGATGCTTAAATTAGGGGCTTTTCTCAGGCAAATCCAACACGGGTGTAAATTTGACATTAGGTTAGCCTTTGAGAATGTCCAGGTCAGGCATGGTAACAGTGTTAGCATAAATATGCTGTTTAGAATCTGTTTCTTGGCGTTCATACTTATGTTTGGACGTATCTGTTTCTTGGCGTTCATACTTATGTTTTGACGTATCTGTTTATTGACGTTCATAATTATGTTTGGATGTATCTGTTTCTTGGCGTTCATAATTATGTTTGGACGTATCTGTTTCTTGGCGTTCATACTTATGTTTGGACGTATCTGTTTCTTGGCGTTCATACTTATGTTTGGACGTATCTGTTTCTTGGCGTTCATACTTATGTTTGGACGTATCTTTTTCTTGGCGTTCATAATTATGTTTGGACGTATCTGTTTCTTGGCGTTCATACATATGTTTGGACGTATCTGTTTCTTGGCGTTCATAATTATGTTTGGACGTATCTGTTTCTTGGCGTTCATACTTGTGTTTGGACGTATCTGTTTCTTGGCGTTCATACTTATGTTTGGACGTATCTGTTTCTTGGCGTTTATACTTATGTTTGGACGTATCTGTTTCTCGGCGTTCATACTTATACTTATGTTTGACGTATCTGCTCATTGGGGTTCATTCTTATGTTTGGACGTATCTGTTTCTTGGAGTTCATACTCGTTAGAACACATTTATGGCTGGCTATATTCAGGGCCACTGGAAAAAGCCAGGGTGGAGCTTCAAAAAACAAATAATTGCATTCCATGTGGCGACGACGGTCACAACGTCCTTTGAATGTTTTCTCCATGTCATACAGGAGTGCTCGGGAATAAACAGGTTCTTACTGGTTCTTACCAACGGGTAGTTATCTGTGCCTGACAAGATATATATGGCAAAGTCCTTTTGGAGGAAGTGAAAATTAGGAGGTACTAATAGATCAGTGTGGTCTGGTCGACACTATACATTCAGAAGAAAGACGAACCGGATACAAAATCGAATTGTTAGCTTTACACCACTCAACAATTAAAACAACATCTGCCGCTAGATTTGTAAAACGGTGTGTACGCAAAACTCAAGTTCTGGACCAGGACTAAAGTCCAGAAGTGGACAATCAATCATAACTGTTCGCAGGACTTTACAACCAGTGAACTCGAGAGCGAAGAAGATTAGGTTTGTGTGTAGCCAACGGATCAACATCATGGCACAAGGGTAGGAACCCAAAAGTGCTCTGTTCTACTTCTGACTAAAACCTGAGGCCGAAGAATCTCAGCGCAGTGCACGGACTAAGTAGCACCGATGAGAACCATGAAATACTTTGGGTAGATTTTTAAATCTAAATTTTGACGGAAAAAAAAAAAAACAACAACAACAGAAGATTGCACTAAGACGACAAGGGATTCAAGTAACAATTGAGACAAAGTCTGTCAGCATAAGAACTGAATTTGTCACAAAGAGTTCATAAAAGTTTGTAATGCAAATCGAAAGCAGCAAATGATTGGCGAATTGCTTGACTTTGAAGAGTTAAAATTTAGGACCGTTGACGAAATGTAGAATAAACGATACAATATATTTTACAGAGAATGTTAAAAGCTTCACTTGCCTTGAATTAGGTTGTCAAGACTGTGCAAATTTTAAATAAAATACACAAACTGAAATATAAAAACCAGGGAAGAGCTGATTAAAAATAATGGAAATGTTTTGCAAACAGCTGTTTTGAATTAGTAAAAGTTCTCTCCGAGTCGGTTTTATGGCGATGAAAATGTGAACGTTCATCAAGTTGTAATAACTCAAAATATGTTGTGGGTAAACGTCTGCGTTCTGCTTCACCACCTGTATTACCATCATTTAATCTTCCATCATCTTCATTTTCTTATTGTTTTTATTTTCCTTCTTCTTCTATTATCCAGCAAATTATCTGACACCTTGTGTCGGTTCCAGGTGCCCATTCTTAGGGTGAACAAAGGACCCTCTGCACCCTTGAACATCATGTCGTTCAAGACGACTAATTAGGTAAACAGACAAGCCAAGACAATGTATCTAGAGTTTTCAGACAATAAAGACTCAAATCAAAGCCGTGCCAACGTCAAAGAAACATCAGCCCGGCTCGCTAGCCTAGTTGGCTAAACCTGACTTCCCAACGACCAGGTGACGAACTCCTTGTGGATCCTGGTTTACGCCCTAGGGTAAGCAGAAAAGCCACATTTCTCACAGATTACAGCATTTATCATGGAATTAAGACCGAAGGGTTGCGATATCCATAGTACCGAGTCAAATGGTTTAGAACTCATGGTTTCTGGATATTTAAAAAAACTAACACACACACACACACACACAATTTCAAAGCCTTACCTGTAACAAACTTCAACGAAACAGCATCTTGTCCTTTGATATAAGTCCTGTTAAAATCGATGTTGATATCAAACGCCTGCCCACGTCGAAGGATGAGGTTCGGAACTTCGTACTCCGCAGCGTGGTGAGCTTCGCGATTTTTCAGTCTACACAAGTCCACATTTACTGGCTTCAGATGAAATTCTGGAGACAAAGTAATGAAGAAACAGCTGACACAATATATAAAATAAAAGTAAAGTAAGATAACATAAACATGGCGTTTCCATGTAGTAGGGTGTATTGCGTATAGAGTTAGAAATTAAGTACACATGTCATCGATTCTTGATTTGTTTTGGGTGTACTGTAAAATGTGTAGTCTCCTAAGACATGCATGGGAGGTTCCGTATTGCTAATATAGAGGTCCTTATGGATCCCAGTAATACAGAGATCCGGGAAGGCACCAAATACCTAAGGAAGTCGGATGTTTTGGCCGAAAAGCGCGAATATCGCAGCCATGCTGTAAACGTGCACGGCGTATTACACCCTCTAACGGTGACATACAAATGAGAAGACATACTGACAAAAATTAACATTGACATAAACCTGCATAATGCAGAGAAGTAACGGAACAAGGCAAAGAAAACGTTAGTGTGTGCGTGTGTCTGTGTGTGCATGTGTGTGGAAAAAAGAGGAAAGGGGGCGGGTGAGTTGGCTTATGTTCCATAATACATTTTCTAACGACGGGGATCTCAAGGGATTTAGTCTTGCTTAAGTGAGCAGCAGCAGCAGCAGTAATATTATTAAAAGCAGCAGCAGCACTAGCAGTAGCAGTAGTAGTAGTAGCAGTGACAGTAGCAGTAGCAACAGTAGAAGTAGCAATTGTGGTAGCAGCAGCAATGGTAGCAGTAGCAGCAGCAGAAGCTAGTAGAAGCAGAAGCAGCAACAGTAGTAGTAGTAGTAGTAGTAGTAGTAGTAGTAGTAGTAGTAGTAGTAGTAGTAGTAGTAGTAGTAGTAGTAGTAGTAGTAGTAGTAATAGTAGTAGTAGTAGCAGAAGTAGCACCAGTAGTATTAGTAGTAGTAGCAGTAGCAGCAGTAGCAGCAGTAACAATAGTAGTAGCAACAGCTGAAGTAGTATTATTAGTAGCTGCAGCAACAGTAGAAGTATTATTAACAATCTAATTCTAGTACCAGTAGCAGTAGTGGTAGTAGAGTTGCAACGCTAGCAGTAAGACAAGTGACATTCAACCCAACCAGAACAGCACAACGAGCAATAAACACACGGTGACACAAAGTGCCTTGATTGGGATAAGAATCGCCCGGCCGCAAGTCCCAGAAACCTCGTTGGCTGGATTGGCTTTTTTACCCCACCAGGACATCACACAAGCGATAAACACCCGATGACACAAAGTGCCTTGATTGGGATAAGAATCGCCCGGCCGCAAGTCCCAGAAACCTCGTTGGCTGGATTGGCTTTTTTACCCCACCAGGACATCACACAAGCGATAAACACCCGATGACACAAAGTGCCACCATGCGGATGAGGATCACCGTGGAGAGGTCCCAGAAACCGCGTTCAGACATTTGGCCATATTGATGACCTGCCTATATTGCGGCCCCTGGCAATAGCCAGAGTGGGGCTTCAAATAACAAAAAATAACGTCCTAAGAAGGACGTAAGGAATACAAATAACCTCGTTCAACCATCGGGTTATTTAAGGGCTCCCGACAACTGACTGTGTGGGGTTTCAAAATAATAATAAAAAACAAATTGCATCCCATATTGAGGCGATGTCTAAATAACAGTAACATTAACTGACTGACGTTTAACCCCCACTAGGACCGCACAACGAAGGACAAACACCCGGTGGCATAAAGTGGCATCATTCGGATGATAATCCCTTAGGCAAAAGTCACAGAAACCCCGTTCATCGGTTATGTTAGCCCCCCACACAGCTGTCAACCTGGGACGGAATAAACTGCAGTAGTAGTAGTATATTTTACCCCACTAGGACATCACACAAGCGATAAACACCCGATAACACAAAGTGTCACCATGTGGATGAGGATCACCCGTGGAAGGGCCATTAGACCATATTTATGACCAGGCTATATTGCGGCCCCTGACAAAAACCAGGGTGTGGCTTCAAAATAAAGAAAAGATGCACCCTACAAGGGGATTACGAATGAAAACTTAACTGTAGCAGTGGTGCTGCACTGACAGAAAATTAAATCTGTTTTATAGATGACAAATCCTTTCTGTATTCCATGTGTTTATTATAAATCAAACTGTCACTCCTCCTAAACCTTGACCAGTACACGGGCGGGTTACATTTTCATTTGCCATTATGACTACAGTGTTTAATTTAACCAGGCCCAGGTTATTCTGCATTTCTTTATTGATTGTGACAATCCGTTAGAGTAAACTTTCGCTAGAGTTATCTCCCTTTTTTTCAGATTGAAATGTAGTGGTTAAAATCAAGCAGATAATTGCAGAAGGCAAATGCTGCTTTCAACAGACATTATTGTGTCTGGAGATTTAAAAAATCTACAGCATTGAAGTTAAATTCAGGATGTACAAAACATGGGTTAGGACAGGTCTGCTCTATGGAGCAGAAACTTGGAAAGCAGACAGAAAGATAGAGAGCATGCTCAGAGGTTTTGAGGGAAGACTTTTCAGAAGATTGTTGGGATGATATCATCAGCAATTAAGATTACATCAAATGACAGACTTAGAAGATGTAAATTTAGATATAAAAAAACGAAGATGAAGGTGGATTGGACACGTCTTCAGAATGAAGAAAAGGAGACGGCCCAGACAGGCAATGCAATGGACACCACAAGGACAGCAAGAAAGAGGCAGGCCCAGAGGTACTTGGAGGCGAACCTTTGAGGCTGAACTCAAGGTTACGTGAAGGACACAAATGGAGATAGAGAGGATAAGTCAGGATCGAAATGAGTGGCGACAGTTTGTCTCTGCCCTATGTGCCTCTTGGCGTGATGAGGATTGATTGACTGATTTCTCTGAACTTTTTATGTCTTACATCCCTTACAATTTTTTTTTTATTTTTTAATTACCATTCATTCTTAACTTCATTGAAACCTATTCTGTAAGACAGTGGAGCTAGAAAAGATTATTACTTTATCAGTCAGATTTAGGGGACTGCCAACCAGTCGAATTTTAACCTTAAGACCCGCCCTCAGTCACTGTTCCGTCACTCCTAAGGGGCGCTAAGGTGGCGGTGGCGCTATGGCAAGAAATGGTCTAGGACGCTCCTACCACATCTCGGGCTGTAACTAGGGGTCAGTTCCCACACCCTGTGTTAAATTTATTTGCTACAAATAATTCAGAGAATCACCAGACATTCACTGAAATCGGACATTGACGGGTTTAGGAAAGAGGACGCAAAAGAGAACGTCAAAGAAGGTGGCCCGTTTTGTTCTCGAGCCTCCATGGAGTTTCTACTAGATATACGCCATGAAGTCCATCGCAACTGACCGCCAAAGGTAAAGAGAGATGATAAGTCAACATAAAATGGTGACCCAACGACACGTAGTATTACGGGATGATGATGATGTTACGGCAGAGGTGGACACCAAGATCTTCTTTATTCACCGACTGTAAGCTCTAGCGAAAAATCCTGGATGTTCGTCCTTTTGGACTCTGGTTTTGCGCCAGTGCCTGACTTTTACGTGCACATCCATTTTACTGGCCTATTTGTGTGTAGCTGGTTGTTCATTGCCGCTCGGGCAGGTGCACTCCGACTTCGAAGGAAGTCCCCAGTTAGTCGACTCCTACGACATGCTTGTTGGGTAGGTAGTGAGTATATTCTTGTTTTCCCTTCATTGGGTCTCTGAAACCCAGACGAGGACGAGACCAAAATGAGATTCGGCTTTCTTTCACTATACCGGGTGAAGCCTGGCAATGAAATCTAGTACAATAATAAAATCTAAATAATATGCAATACATGAACAAACAGTTAAAAAGGTAACTTTTAGACATGCTTAGGGATCCACCAGGCCCTCTTACAAATCATCAAAAGGAGGGGAGAGAGGGGGGGGGGTGTAACCTCAGCTCCTATAAAATATTGTATGTTCCCATGTTTCAACGCCCTTGTAAAGTGGTGAAATTGTCAAGGAAATGTTACAATAAAACTATGTGATTTGTGTATTTTATTTGAAAAGATTCATTTTTTGCGTTTAATTACATACTGATGTAGAATCTGTAGTAATGCACTTGGGAGATACGGCAAAACACACCAGGCAATAAATTGTCCAATGTAATATCTGTATCCTTGTTATTAACACTTCATAATGGGAAACCACCAGTTTTGAAGAACTAAAAGTCTTTATATCCGAAGTGATTGAACGACATTTTGCCAAGGAAAGACGATGATGAATAATTCATTCTGGTATGCCCTGTGTTCTTGTCCAGAACTGGTGTTAAGATATTTCTATCAATCTATGTGCGATTCTCAAGGGTGTCGTCAAAGCCATTCTGCTTTAGCCATTCCTATTATAGCTCTCACTGTATATCGTCGCGGGTATTGTAATGTAAAGCGTTTGTCACAAATATGTTGTGTTTTCCCAAGAGTTCGGGCCATGTCCATTAGCTATTTCTAAGCTGAATTTAGATTTGTATTTTGGTTTTTCTCTGTGTTTATTGTTGTTGTTGTGGTTTGTTCGACAATCAGGCCATGAAAAATTACATTTCAAAAAGTATACAAGCATTTTGTGAAGTTTCTGTGTTTACTTGGTATGTGGTGCTGGTTCCATATTTTTCAGAATTGCAATGAGTGGGTGGTGTGGTCACAATGATGCGAACCGTATATGATTCCCGAAACACTTTTGTAAACTGCTTTTAACTGACACTCACACCTGCACACCGGTGCACTATCTCATACTGGCATCACCATATGTACAGTATCTCATACTGAAATCACCATGTGTACACTATCTCACACTGACACCCACACCTGTACACTATCTCATACTGAAATCACCATCTGTACACTAGCTCATACT